GTATCCATAATTTTATCGAACTTCTTATCCAAGATAGATATATCCGCGATTTCATCGTACTTCTTATTCAAGGTAGACATATCTGTTTTATTGTATTTCTCCAAAGATGGTGAATAATTCGAGTACATGTTCAGAGAATCCTGTTTGATAGTCATAGATGCTTTGTCTTCAATTTGATCTTTTTTGATTGTCGTAATTTCGTCTGGAGATACAACTGCAACCTCGTCTGTCGTCTGTCTAGATCGATATCTTTCGTGCACCAGTACCTCATCATCTTTTGAACCGATCGTACTACCACCGAAACTTAGATAATCGTATTCGTTCAAAGCCAATGATTTTTTAACGAGATTACTGTCAGGGGTTGTATAATCTGCAGACAAGTCTGGTATCGATTTTTCTTTCTCTAATTCTGTCGGCTGCTCGTCGGGCGATTCTTTGCTCTGCGTGCTAAATTTTTGAGGAACCATCGAGTTATTGTCATCTTCTGCTGATAATCGTCTTATTTGATCGGTGATCTTAGCGATCGATATGTCACCCAAATTCTCCTTAGTAATTTTCGAGTCTCTCGAAACCTCCGCGTTAATTGGCTCTGTCTTCTCCTCGAGAACAGGTCGATCGAGTGTCTTCTCAGGAATCGGTGAACTGTCTACTCGAGAACTCTTTTCCTCGTCTGTTCCGGGGACGTAGGATTCGGATGCTGACGTTAGGTCTTCGCTGTCAACGTCGCTGAGCCGGTCCGGCTCGTCGCACAATTCCGTCGACGTGCTGTCCGTATCGCTGTCACCGTTGCTCTTCTTCGGAGACGCTAGCTCAGCTTCCACAGATTGCATTGTTGCAACGCTGCCTTCCGTCGCTTTTGAAAGGAATACGAAGGTATATTAGCACATTACGCTCACTTTCAATTCTTTCCAACTAGTGATATAAAAAAAAATAGGATATTCTGTGACTTGACTGTGAAATTATGTAATAATTGCTCGTTATTTTTTTCTTTTCCGTTATCAATGGTATCAATGGTAGAAATTCAAAATGGGATATTTGGAGTATCTCTAGAACACTTCTCTTCCTATTGCAAATAAAACAGGTATTAACTGATCGTTGGTAATTGGTCAACCGATGGTACCTGAAGTTTCCTATATTACCATCTATCGGCACTTTCTTACCATCAATCAATAAATAAATTATTTTGCTAAGTAAAAAATTTAAGAAGAGACAAATGGTTTAATTTAACTTAAAAATTAAAGGAAAGATTGCAAATAAATCTTGCAAGAATATTTTGCCCGAATCCTGTTCGTATCCTGTATACCTGATGAATTCGAGGGTTTCTGTTTCGGTTTCTTAGTATCTTTCCAGTGAAGCGTGACTCCCTGTCTGTCCTTTCGGTTTTGATTTAAAGTCGTGGGTCTTGTCTTAGTCGTTGCAGCACCGGAAGGTAGACTCAGGGGTCGATTCTTCCCACTCACGAGCGCGCTTTTGCCCACTAAAAGATGATTCATGGCCTGAGAAGTAGGAGGTGGTACCATGGTCTGCCTTGCACATGCAGCTGCGCCAAGGGAAAAAAAAAGTAACGTATGCATTCTTGTAGCCGTTTAATTTGCAACAGACATATACTTCCATTGGTCTTATTCTACCATTGGTCAAAGACTCTTTAACCTATGCGGAACATTTATGATAAGCACGCGTCTCAAAAAGCGATGGAGCGAACGAGATGATTTATCGTGCCTTGAACCACAGCGAAGTACGTCTAATTCTACGATTAAAATCAGCAATTACCAGAAAGTATAATGTGCGCCTGTCGTTGACGTTCACGCAGCTTGGCGTACTGCTGTTTCAGAGTGCTAATGTCCAAAGCAAGCCGTTCTCGATCGCTGCTGGGTGTCATTGCCTGTAGCGCTCCAATCGTTTGAGGTATACGATCTGCGAACGTGTTTTTCTTTTGCCTTTTTTTTTGTTTTTTTGTTTTACGATGCGAAACAACCACGGCTAATATCCCAATATAACAATTACAATGTTAACATATTTTTAATTCGTACCTTTCTTCAGCCGTTGTGCCATGCTGAACATCGCAGCAGCTACAGCCAGCCTTTCATCCTCCTCCGTGTCGCTGTCGTCGTCGTCGCTCAGTTTTCTCGCCCAAGGTGTGATATTGTATCTGTGTTTCTCTCTCAACCCTGTTACACCGTGTAAAGGCCCCATACTGACGATATTCTGTCGCAATTATTGTCATTTGTCAAGAAATAAGTTTGATAATGTGACAATTGTAACAATTCCACGAAAGACTGTAACAAACCTTTATAAGGTTATTAGTGTCCGTAAACTCGAGCATCTCCCTCGTCAGCACTCCCATTATGCTGTAAAACTCGTCCGCCGATGTCACCGTCATGATACGACTGAAACCAAAACGACATCGCGCTCTATCTGTATCCGATCGAACACAATGATACGTACTTAGAGACCTTAGATCCTCTTTCACTTACTCAGAAAGTCCTTCCCAGATAGCCAGCGCGGTTCTAAGCAGTATCTCGTCACCCTCGAGGAATATCAAATCCCAGACGCGCAGAACCGCCTCTTGGGGCAAACAGTGACAGAAGAGAGTAAGGAACCATTGCATCGTAAACACATTCGTCAGAGGTGGCTCGTAACTGCTGCCTGGACAAATATATATGCACACATATATTTTTCGTTTTTCGTTTTTCGCCAACAAGATAAGCCGGTAACAGCACCTCCGGGACACGGTCCCGGGTCCGTTCAACTGTATCGAACAGGGGAGTTACGATTGCACAACCAGTTTGGTTACCTGTCGCTTTGTCCTTCGCGTCGTTCTGTAGCGCCTCCAGGTGTTTTGAGAGCTTGGGCAACCTGGCCCGGAGGAGATCACGAAACACCGCCATGTCGACCGACAAGCCGCGCAGATTATCCGCGAAATAACCCTCCGGCAGGACACCCTCTATCAAGTAGATCATCACCTTCACCGCGGCGGACTCGGCGCGATCCATAACTTGCAGAACGAGGGCGGCCAACACGTTCAGGCCCTGGCAATAGCCGACAGACTTGTTCCATCGGGCGAAACCGAGCAGAACCCGACGAAGCACCGCTTGATTGTCTCTGCCGGCTGCACCGCAAAACAGACTGCAGCCTGTTCTGTGTAGATCCTGAAAAAAATTCAGATGAATAATGTGTATATGTGTGTGTGTGTGTGCGTGTGCGCATGTGCGTGCGCGTGTGTGTGTGTGTGTGTGTGTGTACGACAATACGTATACGATGTGACAGGGTTATTTGAGTCACCTTCAAACTTCAACGCATTAAGATTCTTCTAAGATAACTTCTAGGACAGTATTAGACTTTAATAAAGTGGCAAAGAACACAAAATATTTTATTTAAGTCTATCAAGAAAATATTATATGAAAAAAAAAAATAATAAAAGGACCGAGCAACTTCACGGGCTATATGACAATCACAGCTAACAATATCAACACTGAACAAATTTCTTTCTTTATATTTTCTGGCCATCTGAAAATTATGGCCATCCGAATACCAAAGTGCCTATATTACCAGTTGCTAATACCTAGGCTGGCAATGAATATTCATAGAATATTTATGCTCATAGAACTCCAAAGGGACGAGTTACGCTTTCTGTGGAAACTTCGGGGGAAAATGAAACAAGCTTGTCTGAGTTTCGGCAACTCTGGCCTCGTTAAAGGTCACTTTTTCTCGCCGTGAGCGAGTTAATTGGAAGGCTCATTGGCGACACTTAATTGCCCGGTGTCGAAGTGATTGATGATCGAAATTTAATTGTGCGTAATTATATGAGGGGCGGGGAGGGAGGGGGGAAAGTGGTAAGAAACCATAGCAGTGGGATGAGATTTTCGTGGACACGTGGAGCGTAGACGAGAAACTGGTTTCGGGGCCGATTCGGTTCTGCAGAGGAAGATTATTTGAGAAGTATTCGATCGAAACGTGAGAAATGTAACGGAGAGTGAAAGCTGTCTGGAAGTTGGGAAATATTTTAACTGCGTGTTTTCGAACGTTGTTTGACGACAGTGAGAAGAGATATTGATAGAAATTTGTACGAATGAATGAATAATTCAATGAACGAATGTGACGAACAAGAATCTATTAGTAGTCATATTTGATGAAGACCTATTAGTTAAAACAAGCGACCGGGGATTCTTGTTCGTTATCTGAATTGATTTGTAGCTAGCAGCGTTCATTAGTAATACGTGTAGAAACAAAAATATACAGTGCTATTTGAATTTCAAATTTAGCCACTTGTCTCGAAAAATCATGTCGCTTCCGTCATTACGACAGGGTGAATATAGAATTCACGAGAGCACCGACTATTGTAAAAAGGATGTACGTTTCGCGTTCTTACTTTAACGATTTGTATACCGAGCTCTTCATCGTCAGGATTACTCCACTCGTTGAAGCAGATCTTTTCAGCCTGCTTCCAATCCACGCCGCGTTGCTCCAGATGACGTTCCGCCAGCGTCAGCCACAACTGTGGAAAATTTTGAGAGAACATGAGCGATACGATAAAATCTGTTCCATTATCCAGACGATAATCTCGCAAAAGTGTAAAAATCTTGTCTGGTACTCGCCTTCTTTCGAAATTCCGGCGGTATCCCTCCTGGTAACCTGGCAACCATTTTCATCGCGTCCAGCCATTGTATGAAACCACTTTCTCCTGGTTGCGGAGTCAGGCTAAATCTCATCTTCGTGTCTTCGACTGTAAGTATACAAGCAACAATATTGGAGAAATATCAAGGCCGAAGAAATTTCAAGGAAAATTCGTGCTCGCCGTGTTCAGACAAATGTTACGAGTAAGACGAACTTGAACGAAGAAGTGAAACGAAAAATACAGACAACAAGCAACACAACGTAATACTCGTGGAGCAACTCTCCGACTGAATTCACAACGCGGAATTTGTTAAAAATTGAATTCAATGATGGAAACGAAAGGAACGCTGGGATGGAAATAACAGACGCTCGCCAAGTTTCTCGAGTAATTTAAATTGCGTTAAACAAACAGAAACAAAAAGCTTAATATTCCTAATTCGATGGAAATGTCGACTCCCATTTAACTCGGTTTACGAAGTTTTACGATCAAACTTGACGCGAAGCGTCCAACAAGGCGCAAACGAGACGAAAAGCGAAAAGCGAAAGATGGACAGTTAAATCGGAATTGAACGGCCCGATGATTACGGAACTTCAAAGCTCATTAACGCGTTTATCCGCCAGACAACTTTATCGCCTTTAACGCTATTTAATTAGCCACATCGTGGATCTTTGAATCGGATACGTGACACATTCTCTGCGTGGACACTCGAGCTCCGTCGATATCGTCCCTTTCTGTTAACGTTGAACTTGAAAACTCGAATTTGAATAACACTCAAACTCGATAACTTAAGGAACTATGACCCAGAAGAAGAATGATGTTTAACAGTTATCAACTTCCAATGGTTCATCGAAACAGAGAATTTCCTAATTTTGAAATTTTTAAATTCCCAATTTCGACTGAATTGGAAACGTCAGGTTTGGAAATTCGAGCTTGGTGAATTAGAAATTGAATGCTTTGAACTCGGCAATTCAACGAATTATTTTCCTTGGAGAAATTCTTACGATGCATCGCAATCAACGCGGTTACTAACTGAATGCTTCCAAAACTTCCCACTGAACTTCCTTTTGAAATATATAACTGCGCAATACGGACGCTGCTTAACTTATTACTCAATTACAGCTTGAAACGAAAGAGACGTATTTACATTGAGGTCTAATTTAGTCAAACGCAGCGAATTCATCAGGTAAATGTGTTTCGCGTCAACAAGTTCAAGTTGCCCAGTTATGAATTTTACAACCGCGCTCTTATGGATACGTATGGAACGGTAAAATCCATAACTCTTTCATCGAAGTGCATTATGGATACACACGTGGATTGATTTTCATTATCCCTCTGTTGCTCAAGGATAAGCTTAGCTGACCGAATCACCTCTTTCAGAGCGACAGCGTTTTGTTTGAACGAAAAGTCCATTTGACTGGGTCTCGTTCGATTCGAAATAAAGTACGACGCTCGGTGCGTGTGATCAACTTCACCGGGGAAACTCGATTCCAACTTATTCGATTATTATCGTAGGTCGTTTCATGAATTTCTAGCAGCTTGGAAAATTTGTAATTTCCATCACCGAGAACCGCGTGCTTCCGCCGGAAGGAAATTCATAATGAGCGGAGGGCAACTAACAAATTTCCGCGGTGCACACGGTGGAGAAAACATTCGCGTTTGCACAGCAAAATAATATTCCCCGTGTTGCCGATAGAAGACTCCTTCGAAAGCATCATTGTTGACTCTCGGAACGATCGAGACGAAGTTACGTGTCTCTCTCTCTCTCTCCTTTCTCTCTCTCTCTCTCTCTGTTTCAAGAAGTTGTGTAAGCATCGGTAAGCATCGGTATCAATCTCCCGCAAACCTTTTCAGTTTCAGTTACACGATAAATATTACCGTAGTCGAGAGATCGTAGATTTCCGAAGAGAGTGTCGGACTCTACATATATATCTAACAATAAGAAGTAAAAAAAGAAAAGAAAAGAAATGAAAGAAACCCCACCTCGATCTGCGACAAACGAATAAACCCGCAATTACGTCGCATGGGAATCAAGCCTGAGAAAATCAAATCAAGATGCCATATTTGGCAATTTTCGTGCTCGAAGCAAAAGCGACTGGATCGAAAAACGAAAAGCGACAGCGCTCGAAAGGTGAAGCGAAAGTTGATCGAAAATTCGCATGCACAGTCGAGAAGGAAATGCGAAACGAAAACGTCGATTGCCGCTGCAGGGTTAACGGAGAGCGGTCGGCATGCAGCTGACTGTTGAAATTTCTTTTTGTTTTGTTTTGTTCACCTTCCAGTTCTTCGTACTTCGAGGCAGAGCTGGCAGCGTACGCGGCTCCTGACGCGAAGTTTCTCAGCGAGTTGAAAAATCCGCTCATTCTCCAATTAGGAACGCCGCTGTTTCTTCTTCATCGTCACTTTCACCTGAGCCGGCTCTTGTTGTTGTTGTTGCTGTTGTTGCACGCAGTGCAGCCGCCTTTCAGCCATTCTCGTGATTCATCGTTTGTCGGCCACACGCTCATTTTCACGGGACCGTGCTCGCCAGCCACCACGCTCTACGAACCTTCTGTCGTGCGAGACGCATTTTTATCACGTGTCTGAAATCCCGATGGTCGAACGTTTACCACGCGCGCAAACCTCCTCTAAAAATAACGTCGCGGTCGGCGTTGCGCGTTACTCGATCTCGAGGGAAGTTTCTCCTCGATAACGCCGCGGTCGACGCTGATACCGGTCACAGTTGTCGGCCGGTTTGAAAAGTTGATACACCGTGAATTATGAACGGAACAACCAGCCGTGATTGCCCGACGTATCGAGTGTGTGCGATAGCGCTCGAAGCCTATACGCGAAAATCGAAACGAGGAAATTTCGTTATTCGCGTCTGCGAGAGATGCGCATCTATAGTTAAACACGTTCACAGTCCAATTTCTAACGTCTGAAATACTGTCTAACGATACATTTAGAAACACATGTTCGTTGCGCGTAAACGAAACAAGTAATTTATTTGCCAGTATGATAATTAAAATAAATGTATACAAACTTTTAACTTTAATTTTGGTCGTTTCTGTTCCACGAGTGTGAATCGGCAATACTATCGGGGAACAAAAATTTACATATGGAGCAGCATGGATTGTGAACGTGTTAAAGCAATCGATTATCTGTTTGTTCGAATGAAGAAACAAAACGGGAAGGAATTGCATCTACAAGTGTCTATTCCTAAAACAACATGAATAACTATGATATAACGTAGAGAATGGGGAGAAGCCGATTGTTTGTGTATTCGCGTGGTCGAATATAGAATATCTTCTAGAAATTATGGAGCACAAACGAATCTAAATAGCCACTCCGCGAGGGATCCATTAAATTCTTAAGAACACGTTCACAGAGTGGTGAACTTGAAAGCGTTAATTTGCCAGGCTGCGCGATTATGACGTTACAAAGGCACGAAAGAGCTTTTAGATCGGGATCCCGATGACAAACGAAACGCTACGTTCCACGAGCGTGGTTTTTCTTAATCACGTCCGCATGAAGTATACCACCTGTTACAAAGTCCGCTTAATGCGGATGTACCACTGGCACGTAATGCACGCGCTCGACTCGACTCGACGAGAAGAAGTTCGCGATACCAGGACAAATCGATTGGTTATCAGTGTTTCAATTGAAAGCGTGTGACGCACGGCAGGTGACGTATACATTGGAAATCTCGATGCGAAAATTTTTAGAACGGACGTCTGGAATTGATCTGGCGAGTCGAGACTAATGACAAGTCAAGAAATTCAAACGTCCTTCTCAAAAGGAGGAATTCAGTCTGTTATTTAGATTAGATTAGCAATAAAAAAAAATAGTAAGTTTGACAAATTAGTATTTTCAACGTGAATTTCGTAATAGCGTAGATAAAAGATATTTCTTTTTTCAGTCATAGCGAAAGTAATGTCAGAAATAAAAGTTTATTTGAATAGATTTGTTAGAAAAAAAAATCCAGAAAATAGCCTGGACAGCTGCATATGGTTGCTACGCACCCCACGAATACTTGAGCATAAGCACAAACGAACGTCAAGGTAAGCACGCACACGTAACCGTGAATCGTAACTCGGAACAAGGCTACAACGCCAATGGAACTGTGTGTTATCGAACGTTTTGATTTATTCAATCCTATTCAGCATTCCGTTGGATACGCATCGATTTTTCCGTTCTTTGGAGGCCCTAGTTATTCCTCAGCCTAGGAAGAGACGATGTTCCACCATCGAGCAGATGAGTTACAAAAGCGAGAGAAAACGGAGAAACTTGCGCGAGAACTTTTAACGCTGTCCTGTTTCCCTTCACCCTGGTACTCGCGTGTACTTGGAACCGTACGAACAAGACTGGAACGATCGTTCGATAAATCAACGTCAACGTGCCCGATCGCGGTCAAGGAAGCTACCAACAAAACACATGCCCGCGAGAGACAGCCCCGGGGACGTCTTACCATTATCGTCAGTGCGCGAATCGACGTCGTGAACGTGAAGTGGACGTCTTGTCCCCAGGAAAACCGCACGTCGTGTTACGCATCTGGCCTCGTGTCACCGAGCGCACACACACACGTTTCCTCGAACACTCACCAGAAGCACATCCCCGTAGTGCACCCCTCCGGCACTGACGCGTACTTGTTCACCGCCTTGTGTACGTGAGAGCAAGCAAGAGCCAGAAAGAAGGAGCCAGAGAGTGCGAGAGAGAGGCAGTGATACCGAGGGTAGACAGATACACGGTTCGTTGGAATTCACACGACACACAACGCAACGACGCAAACGCTTCACTCTCTTCTTCTTCTTCTTCTTTTTCTTCTTCTGGATCCAGCTCTCGTCTATCCCGGATAGAAGGAGAGAAAGACAAGTGCTGCACTGCGCGAGAGGGTGGAATCGCGACGACAACGGCGAGCAGGCTGCTGGACAACCCTCGTTTGAGACGGATACGTCGAGTCAGCTGAACGACCACTATGCCGGCGGAAGGAGAGCGTCGCGCGCGCGCGCGCACCCGCAACGTACATCCACCGTGACAATAACCACGATGGTTAGCGTGTATGAGAGGGGTAGTTGTCTCGTGGAATCCTGCAATAGGCACACTGAAGCCGTTCCGCGAGCCGTTCGCTCTGGCCTTAGCGATCAAGCCACTCCCGTTATGCCGCATGCGCCAACATCCCCCATCCCCACGTTACCCCACTGAGAGAGGAATTCGTAACCGTGGGGGTGCTCGCGTGCGCCAACGTCTTCGCGACCAACGGGAACACACCGTGACTGCTCCGCAGGGGAGGCTCGAATCCGGTTATTACCTTTTCTCCTCGACAACGACGACGACGTTGCTGCGGTTATTCTCGTTCTGTCCTGCTGCTGTCTTTCGTCTCCGCCAACACTTCGGGGGATACTTTCGTCTCGTTGTGCTAGCACGAGTGCTGAGACCGTATAATTGGACTAGTTCCTTCATTATTTTTCTCCTTATTCTTCCGACTTTGTTTCCGACAATTCTTCCGCTAGGGAAACGAGTTTCCTTAAATGGAATTACGTGATTGTCGCCGTGAGAGATTACTACAATTCTCATTACAATGATACTGTTTCAGGTATATTGCTGTGCTTGTTGTTTCTCGTTCTTACTCGTTCGTTTAACGAAACTTTGCAACGAAAGTGAGTATAAGCGACAGTATAGGTAGGTGATTTTTTTCATCGCCTCGCGTCGTATCGCGCTGCAGCCGTGGATTTTAATCCGCGTGCACAATAAAGCTGCGTTCCTTGGATCGATGAACTTATCGACTCGGGCTCCCTTTATGGGTCAGTCGGAAATGTCGTCAGAGTCAGTGGCAACACGCCGGAGAGACTAAGGCCATCAGATACATTCGCGGATATAGCGTCTATCTCCGTGATCCTCCCGAGTATAAAATAAAGCTTCCGAGATAAAAATTGAAAAGTAGCTGGTATTTTTGTAATTCTAGGTTCCCTCTCACATTATAAATAAATTTGCTAGTTTGTGAGTCGCCGTGTCTCGACTGATACCGATCGTCATCGACGCATAATTTACGAATTAATATCGTTTGCGTATATGCTTTGGTCGAGCTACTGATAATTTATTTCTATCTTTTTCTTCCCCTATAAGGAAGTCATTCATCTCTTTCGTTCAAGTTCAACGAGATCCATGTTTCTGGAAGTTTCGAAGTTCCAAATGTACGATAACTGGTTCAGTAATTAAATATTCCAACTCCTAAGACATGCACATGTAAATGCTTTCTTCTGCTAAGCGTATGGAAGAAAGTTTCGTTCTCTTTCAATCAGAGCCAACGATGATCAACAGTGGTTGTTCGAAACATCAGCGATAGATACGGTTTAATTTTCGAAGCTGGTCAATTTGAAGACACGACGAAAATAAGAAAATTCGAGTTATCGACATTCTCCTTGTCTCGCATATGGGAAATCTGATCGAACATGAATTAAAGACGAGCCTGGCATTTGCAGATAGAATTACCTTCGTTCGTATCACCAAGGCTGCATTGCGCGCCCGTGTTTCGATTGAGACACGCGATCCTTTTTCGCGCGAATCCGACCCAATTCAATTCGTTTCGATCCAGCTGGAACCCCGTATGGCCGCTTATTTTCAGCTCTCGTCTCTCAAGTCGATCGTCAACGCGAGTGGGCCGAGTTTCAACGAATGACGCTTCCAAAGAGTATTAGCAATTTGTATTTGAATGGAATATAATTCCTGTCGATATTTCCCATTGTTCATGATTCCAGATAGCGAGCAACGTTCAAAAAGAATTACCAATTTTACAAAAAATCTTAGATTTCGAACAATTTCTCATAAAAATCTATCATTATAAAAGTCAAGACTTTTCGTAATAATTTCGTATAATTCCTTAATATTCGAGACGATAGATCACTGAATTGCTCTGAATCACAAAATTGCTCAAATTTGTTGAAAAGTAAATGGAAATTAGGCTATTGTGAACGAAAAATTAAATTTTCCACGTGATGCGAGGCAGGGATGTATCGCGATAATCGATGCAATCATCAGCGCATAATCCGCGCGGATATATATTCAGAAGATACGCTCATTTCGCAAGACCGTGTTTTTGCTGCTCTTGCAAGCGCATCGGGGTAATGGCTTGGAAACAGTTACTTAATATTTTGCGCGCTCGGTTGGGCCATTGAAGCACTCCGTGCAAAGGATAGAGTTTAGAAGCGGCGTTTGAAAAATTGCACGAGGTCGATAAGTTTCTCGAGTTAAAAATGAAAAATTGCTCGACGAGAGCGTCATCTTGTCTCGTGGAAACGACTACGGTAGAAACGGTGAAATCGCTAGTAAGAAATTGATAAATGACAGGATCAATTCCTCGTAATACACACTCGCAGATTGTTTGCTATAAATTGCTAAAATTCTTGAAAGATCTTTGCAATTTTTTTTATTACTTAGACTAGCTTTCAAGAAATTTATTTTGTTCCATGTTCAAAATTGAAGCAACACGTTTTGTAGTATAAATAAATTTGATTGATTAACCAGATCTTTCTTTTTTTCTTCACGCGATAACCTTACGAATAAAAAATGAGAGATAAGAATATAAAGATCATTGTTATCAATCATTTATAAACATAGAATAAAAATACATATCATTTGTGTGTTAAGGTAAATAAATGAGACCCTTTATTTAACGTGGCCTTTGACCTTTCTGTATACTTTCTAATTGCTATATTTATAAATTCCTAAATATATTTAAATAGGGTAGGCGAGGGTAAGCAAAATTCTGCAGAATTTTACATATTATCACACGTGGCTCTGTATATTTTATTAAAGAACACTTGACTGAAGTATGAAAGTACCACGAAGCACTTGGTCGACGTGTTCTTCCAAATCAAACATTACTTACTAGAGATCATAAAGAGACGTATGGCCCCTGGCATTTTTCACCAAGGTTGTTTGATTCAATTTCTACGAGTATTGACTTCAATTTCTACAAATATGGAGATGTCAAAGTTGGCACACACTACAAACTTTTACTCACTGATCGAATATCTGCCTGTGAATAACGTCCACCTTGCAGACACTTTCTCCAAAATCACCTGCTTTCGACTACTATACCATTTTCCTGACTACCGCAGAAATGGCCAAAGTGTTCTTTTCCAATAACTACATCTAATAATAATAATCAATAACGATCCATTTAGAATCAATGGTGGAAAATAATCTACTACTTTAGGGACTTGTTGAAAGTGAGACTATGAGATTCAGGAAAATTTCCACGTTCAGAGAAATGATTCCACTACGAATCGGTTTCCAAGAAATTAAGAGTTTTCAGGTATATCAGAAAGAATATATGTAGAAAGTAAAATACTCAGGAGAAAAATTTCAATAATTACAAAGTGCAAGGACATTTAAAAAGAGAATTTCAGAAATAAAAAGAAAAGTATCCATGGACGTACATAACGTATGATCGAGATTCGAAGAAAGTAACAGACACATCGAATAAAACCAAAAAATCGATCATCAAATTTTTAACGTGCACTCAAGTGTATTCAAGTATGTATACAAGAATTAAGTGTGTATTTAGGCATTAAATGGTAGGAGCTTGCATGCCGGATAAAAACTGAACCGTAAAATTGCTTGTGCGAGAAATATGACGCGATATGCGCCAACTATGCAAAATCGTCCGGTAAGCACGGACACCGAAGTGTTTGCTCTCGGTGGTGTCAGAGCGTGTCAGCCTGGTCGTGCATCGGCTCGCGCGACGCATCAGGGGTTCATCGGCACTAAATGCAGATCTAAAGTTAGAGAGAAGACCGAGGAAAGTTCCGCATTTCCGGTTCGCAGGCGCAACATCATTAAAACTTTATCAATGACATTACGCCGCGAGGTTCGGCCGCACTCGCCGCACGCTGGGCATGCGTGTTGCGCGCGATACGCGCGGCAAAGTCTAATTATTGATCACCGAGCGCGCGTCGAGCCACGTGAAAAACAGGGCCCCTTTGTTTTCCAGAACAGTCGGCCATCTGCCTGGCATTTTTCGCGATACGCCGCGATAATCATACATTCGGGGTATCGATAATACATTTAGTAAAATGTAACCATTCTTTTTAAAGTGACACGCGTTTAAAGAATGAACACTTTACAAAGTAACATCGCGTTATTATTTAACTGGCAACTGGTTCGAACTGGAAATTTTGTTTCGCCAATTGGGGAATATTTTCTCCAGGTTATTACGAAGGTTTCATTTTCCCATGAAAAAATTGAAAGGGAAATTTCCGCATCCATTTATGTACAGAGTTGAACGACTTTGAATTCTCGAGTATGCGCAGTTGACACAATATAAAACACAATATAAAACACGAATTTCGAAAGTTGTTCAGCGATGTGTTTTTCTTTTTTTTTTTTTTTTTTTTTTTTTAAATTAAACGTGTATTTATATATATTGTTCAGCTATAATTACGATTACGACTATACGGTCGAGTGGCTTAACAAAGTGTTAGCGTATCTATTACAGCATTTACATAACAACAAAATGTAGAACGTGATAAAAAAAAAGTAAGGCTATACTATACTTTTCCTTGACGTGCGAAGCATTGAAATGAAACTTAATGAGACTCGAATCTGAGACCTGAGACTTCCACTGTTGTAAATTGAAAAGGCTACAGAAATTGAATACCCTATTTTTTTTTAAAGATTAAAAACAAAAATCATGTCGCAAGTTAGAATCAGAATAATTCCGGTAAGTTTCCAGGAACGCAACAAATTGCCGGCCATTCTTAAGAATGCGCATAATTTGCGTTACACTGGGTCCGTCTGGATACCGGTCCGAATTCCTGTTTCTGCTGTTCCATATTTATAAACGGCGATAAAATAAATAATAAGTTACTGGGCGGTTAACGAAGAAGAAATGGTATAAATCGTGCGGTCGTTTTTCACGTTTTTCGTGCAGACGGAACGCGAAGGTCGCTTTTGTACGATGGCGGTTTTATTGTCAGAGAGGAAACGCGAGGCTTCAAGCAACTCCGCGCGAACAGCTGCGCTTCCGTATTATGCGAAGCTCCATTGTTTGTCCAGCGACATTATCGTCGCCGTTGCTGCTTGTTTAAACGCTACTTCTTTTTCTGCTAAGCTAATTTTAATGGCTCGTATAAACGTCGCGAGTAAATCACGAAACGATCCGACTGTAACTTGGATCTGTACGAAGGAATCACGCGTATGTCGCGTGTTTAACACGTTCACTGCCAGACGAAACTTAAAAACTTTTTGCTTTTAACTTTTATGAAATATCACGTCACGATGAAAGTGTGTAAAGCGAGTAAATGAACTTTCATTTCACAGTATTATCCGATTATTTACGTGATGATATTTCATTGTAAGTAATAAATGGATTTTCATTTTACAGTATCATGCAATTATTTGAACGATGACATTTCATCGTAAAGGAGTTACTAAGAATAGTGGCAGTCGACGCGTTAATATCCGAAGAAAACTGACAACAAGATCGTAAAAATTCTGGGAGTATACTCACCGCGTTTCTGACTGACAGCCTGAAGATGAGCCGTAATTATGGCGCATAGTTTCTCGCATTTGGTGGTAAGATAATCTTTACGACGCAGCTGCCGAACGAGTATCTCGCCAGTGTGATTAATATGGTCGCGTAAGTTCAGCACTAAGACTTGAAGCTCGTGCTCGCCTGAAAAGAACGCAACGCGCGTTACACGCGACGAGTAGGAGAGTGTCGGTGGGGGGAAAAAATTTTTAATCTCGTGAAAGTTGTATTCGAGATTGCACGGGGTTATTTCGAAATTGGGGGTCACGCGTTCTATACATATTTCGTCGCGGATAAAAGGCGAGACACTTGCAGGAACCTTTGGATTCTCCTTGCAATCTTGATAACGGCCCGAAAGGGCTCACCCTCTGTACACATCGTCCGAAGATTGAAGTTTTCCAACCCTTTCGCTTATGCTCGCCGCGTATTTCGACGAAACGGGCGCGCGGTCCCTCTGACTGTTTCTTCTCTTCAATCCCGGCACGTGTTCGTTTCGTAACTTCGCGAAAGTCTTTGGTAACTCGCTAATTACGTTAACTTTTGTATTAAAATTTAAATAGCAAAAGTTGACCGTTTATGAGCTCATCGCTCGTAATATATAACGAACTTTGAAAGGAATTTTCGAATAATCGTCAATGTCGCGAGTCAACCTCGGAGATCGATCGAAACGTCCGTACGATGCTTTTAGTTGACACGTGTCTCAGAGATTACGACAGAATTTCATCAGTCGAATATCTGTAATTATTTGTTACAACGAGTACTGATATTTTGGTTACTTTGATGTTTTTTCGTGGGATTTTAGCCTAAGATACGTGCAATCTCTCCCTTAGTATTTCTCTATGCATGTTCAACGAGGCGCAACGAAGCAGCATCGTGTATAGAGATAAAAGAAGTGCTTCCCCCTCGAAAGAAAAAAAAAAGAGAGAGAGAGAAAGGAAAAAAGTAGCACTCCAAGTCAAAGAACCTTCTTGCCTCGAAGTCAACGAGGTCGCTCGTCTGTCTCCTCTGCACGACCTCTTGTCTCGTCAGCTCATGCCAAAGTATCTTCGCCTAATTCAGGTAGATTTCGAACTTTGCGTGCGCGGATATCGCGAACAACGTAACATTGTCTTCTTCGTTCGCAACGTTCCTCGCTAAAGCGATGGAGTTTAATTGAAAATTGCAATTCCTCGCGTCAAGTGCGTTATCATTTAAAAGTTGGTGTTTTCCTTCTAGTAAAATATTTTTCCACTGAAACGTATCCAGCCATACCATTTTTCCTCCTTTTATTTTCAAGAGTAGCTACTGTGCTTCTGTGACAGAAATATGCTTTACAATAAATGTCCTCGGGCTAATGTGTTTATCCACCACCCACGGCCGCTCTATTCTTCCCTCCCACCTTCCCCCCCCTCCTCGCTGATGTATCCAACTCTTATTGAATTACTCTTACTTTTCCACAGCAGACGCGCCTTTTGTAGGTGCTGATGCTGCGGACGTATCCTCAGGGATGAAGCTGTCGAGTCGCTATCCGATCGTCTTCTCTCACCGTCTGGCATCCCATATATTTCTAGCAATAATTGATCAACTAAAGAAGACACAGCTCCTTCCTTCTTTTCGGGAGGATTCGGTAACGGTGATGGATACGTCTAGATGGAAGAAATGATATCCTTATTACTATACTCTTCGTGATACAGATAATGTAATTTCGTTGTTATCTTCAAACAACAAATTTTCTACATTAATTCTCGCGCAACGGAATCATTAAAAATTTCCTTTGACGTTTAATACGTTTTAAGCTGCAGTGATTATTTTTATTCTTTCACGTGTATCATTATTTTCAACGAAACATTCTTTCATTTGAATCTACACTTCGTTTCGTATTGAATTTTTATAGCCACGTGCTTATACTTCATTTTTTTTTTTTTTTTTTTTGAAGATATTATTTTTGCGATATTATTTTTTGAATAAATTTAGTTGTTAAACACATTGTTTAACTTTTGAATAAAATAATGAATACTGACTGGATGACAATGATCCAGTCTCCATTGAGCGAGAATTAATGAATAGATATTTATCCATAAACGATACCTTCGGCCTATAAATGTCACTCTTATCTTTCACGTTGTTAGTATTTTTACAATCGCTGCCCCTCACGTCCCACGCGTCGCCCACCGATTTCGATCTCTTCAAACATTTTCCCTCTACCTTATCCGGCACGCAACTAGCCCTTCTGACCTGCTTTTTCCGATTCAGTTCCATGAAATCCGGGCCCTTCCATGGCCTGTGAATCAGATTGCGTTTCCTCCTGCTGTACAACGATGGAAACTGATAACCATCCGCGCAGTACAGCAAATTTCGTGTCTGTTGAGTGACATACACGTCGCCAAACACGCGCTCATTTTCTACGGCCACGCATTTCACGCGGTAGCTAATTTCCGCGTACTTCTTCAAAGGCATCACGTTGCAGCTCATGGTTCGACTCAGCCACGTGATCAATCGTTAATTATTTATGCTTTAACGTAGTCGATCGAGTTCGCCGACAGCCTTCTCGCGGAAGCGGTTCAAGTTTGTGAAACAAACGGTCGTACGATCGTTTCATCACTTTCGACGATGGGATTGATTATTCACCAAGTGTCGATAATACCGTCCCACGGTGGCATTCAGAATGTGTTTACGTCTGGTCTTTGCTCGAGAGCAAAACATTTCACGTTTGAGCGGAATTTGCATGTGACAAGATGTTAGTTTCTTTTTTTTGGTTATTAATTTGATAATATTCGACAACTTCAATGCAAAAGTTCAGCGGAACAATCAGATAAAAGTTGTGGGTTGTACGTTTCTGTGATCTGAAAATTACGTGTGGAACTTTGTCTCATTGACAAATCTGTTGTTACTGTATAAAATCATTTTTTCAACTCTGGTTAATCTCGTACAATTTTACGAGTGATACAATATAACTTCGCATTATGATTACGCGAATCGATTGGCTCGAGACTGAAGTCGCGCACGACAAACTAAATATAAATTTCCACTCTTTGCCACTGCTAATTGAAATAATGAATGCTTGAAATAAACTGGCAACAACCGCGATTAAATGAGACACAAAGAAGCGTACAGGGACGTAATAAAAATTGAGACCGAGCGTACAAATAAATTGCTGGACAATACTTCTTTGACATTAGCGCGAGGATGCAGATAACAGACGACCTTTCTCGCAATTGCAATTATCTAACATTTATCATTTTTTTGATACGCGCGCACTCGTAATTGCTTCCATCGCTTCCGACCAAGAAAAATTAAGGCTGAAGAAATGCTCGGAATTTACGCGTTCACAAAATGGAAACGATTGTCGCGGTCGATCGAAGCAGACATACTGTGAATTGCAAAATAATATTTACATAAATCGCAAATCGTGCGAAATAATTTAAATATATTGCATTACGTCGCCTCGTTCTGTCTTTGGAATTCGTTTAACGAAAGCAACGATCTAATGTGATACAGGCACACGAAGTAACAAGACAGAAAAATTATGGCACGTTTAAATGTCACTAGTTTCATGCTTCTGCAGAGAAAGAATTTCAAATGTCGGGCGGGTTATTTATAACGCTAAATTAGAATCCTCGGGTCTTTCAATGTTATTATCACACTGTTTATTATCAGAAGATTTACTTTACTATTATCAGAACATTTTAAGCGTGTTCACTTGTCATCACAGTGCACGCACTCACTTTTAGAATTTCTCGAGAAAGAATTTACACACATTTCAAACGTACGAACTACATTTCTTCTGTTTTTCTTTCTTTTGTAGTGATTTCAATTTGTATTTTATTCTCAATTCGCGATCGCGAGAGTTCTTGAAATTTTAATTTGAAATTTTGATTGAGTTTTCCAGATTTCTTTAAATCTTAATAACTTCTGCGTCTCGACGTTGACGAAATATTTTCCGCGATTGTTTCATTACATTCTGTACGCATTGTAACCCTTACCACGAGACCGGTAGTACTGTTCTGGTGGCCAGACCGCAACTGGAAGTACTGGCGATGATAATCGTTTCATTATGTCCTGCCACTTACGTTGTCGACTAGCTGACAAACGTAACAGCTGTCGTTATTTATAATCGCCATGTGTCCGACGAAAATTCGAAGAACTTCTTAGGTACATGTTACATGCTGGAGAATTGACATTGTGAGAGACAGTGACAAAATTCTCCTATTTCGTCAAACAAATCTCACTCGTACGAAAAGATTAAAATTGTAATGAGAAATGAAAATTTTCGTCACTCAACGAAGAATAATAGAAAATGTATCAAAATTGTTCACAAAGAATGATTTTTATTGTACAATTACGCAACACACTGCCTGTTTTCCGCTCTTTGAGAAGGGAAGTATGCGATAAAAATTAAGCTGGTCATCGAAACCGCTACTGTTATCAGCGTTGCTGATAGCGCGACCGATCGTAATGTATCGCATACTCAGCTAGAATTTTAAATGCTATGCAGTAGTCATTCACCTGGTCGGTTCAATAACCCTTTTCCTAACAAAAAAAAAAAAAAACTGCTCGAAGACGCGAACCCTGTTTACTGACGAATGCAGATAGATATAAAATATTCCTTATGAAGCAAGTGATTAAAATGACAGTGGCCAACGAACATGAAAAGTTCTCGACGAATCTCATCGTTTTAATTTGATCGGAAAATACCGTTTTTCTCGAACATAGAAAGATAGAGTTATCTATTGTATGACTGAGGACGTTCAAATTTTCTAGCAGATAAATTTCATTTTCATGAAAGTCATGTTTCAATCTCAGTTGACTCATAATAAGTCGAACTGATCTGGTTCAAGTTTTTTAATCCCAAATTTTCTAAAATTCGTTTAAATATCTGAATTCGAGTCACATACAGTTTCGAGCCTACGAAAGTTTACGACTTACTTAAAATTCAGAGATCTTTAACTTCAAAATTAACGTCGCTGATAAGCGAACCGAACAGCGTGAATCTGAGCGCGTTTGGTCGATTTCATTGTCGCGTCTACAAGATACGGTCGCCATAGGAACGAAAAAATATTTATGGTCGACGGTAGCGGCAGAAATCGCTGCGTATTTTCACGTGGCGGAGATTATGCCTTGCGAGAGTGAGACGCGTTCACGACTCTGTTGAGCCACCTCTGATAATCCGAAAATGATCGACATCCCGTGCATATGCAAAGAGAAGAAGGAGGATGGGAACGGAGAGGAAATTTCTTTCGGTCCACGCACCGACGACATTTATCGAACCTGTAATCTTCCGACACGATTTATGTATCCACGTAAGTCTGTATAATTTAGTAACGTGACGTCATATTAAACGAGTTACACGGTCCTGATTAGTCCTCGACGCTTATTTCATTTTTTCATCAAAGAAAACGCTCGCTTCGAATATTTCGTAGAGCTCGACTTGCGGATCGGTTCGCAGATCGATCTCGCGAAAACAACTCGCGTTTTCGCGGTAGGAGTTCTTCGTGCTAAAACGATAACGCTCCGCTATTAATAAGTCAATATTGACGGCACGTTCGTCGAAGCTTATCGGTAATGCAGACATTCTTGCACGTATCGCAGAAACCTTTCGCGCGGATGGATGGATTCTCGTTTGAATTACACGCGATTCCGCGTTACTTCGACCATACATCCATCGTTAAGAGATTACTTCGTTTCGCAATAAAAAAAGAAGCAAAGGCAAATTCAAGCGCATCGAGATATTCTCCAGTTCAAAGATTCTGTATGTTTCTCAGATACGTTTATTCCATTTGTGAGAATGTGCGTGTCTGACGCGTATTTCTGAAGACTTAAAAAAGGCTCGCTTTAATTTTTCCATTTGACACGTTCGTCCCCGATGCGAGCATTCATCACGGGGGGGGGGGGAACACCTCGAACGCCAGAGATTCCAATTTTCATCGCGCGTCGCGGTATCTCGTGTTTCGTATTCATCTCCGTGTTTCTCGAATAATCGAGAGAAACGATCCCGCGAGTGAAATAACCGCGCCCCCGACGCGAAAGCCTCGAATCGCGAGATTGCGGCGCACGGTGAATGAACGACCCCTTTGAAATCCAAGCCGGCGCTTCCAGAACAGTGACAAAGAACAGTTTGCATGCGCGTATTACGGGGAAACGAGCGCATCGATAAAAATGCGAGGCGAGGGTCGCCGTGGACGACGAGTCCTTATCTCCCTAAAACTCCGTGGAAATTATGAATTTTAATACCCGCTACGAGGAAAACAGCTACTTTGGAGCATGGCGCGAGAACGCTGATTTCAATAAAATTGAATTTCAAGATGAAACGCCACGGTTGTGCAACCGCGGCGTACGTATCAGCCGCATACGAACACACAGAGCCGGCTCTGTTGAGAGCGAGCCAGCTCGCACTGTGTTTAAAATGAATAAAACATCCAATTTCCGCGGAACTGGACCTCATCGTCGAGTTATACCGTATGCGGTATAGCTGATATTATATTTGTCGAACGATATCTGACGAACGGTAACCCCCCAGTTGCACATCGAGCACGCAGTGTTCTCTCTGGTGTGTTCAGTGCGCGTCCAGCATCTGAGAACACCATGCGCTTCCTCTTGCTCGTTTATCTCGTCTTATCGGTCCCCGCTCGAGACGTTAACGCGGAGGAAGTGGACTGCCAGGTTTACAACCATCTTTACGTCTGCCTGGCCAACGGCGTGCTGCACAGCGTTGCGTTCGAGGATGTCAACGCGGTGCAAACGATCGAGGACATAGAGCTGCATCTGGAGGGCCTCGGGATCGTCGACATAGCCAAGGACGCTTTTCTCGAAGTCAGCAACTCGTCCGCCTTGTACATTCGTGACAATCAGTTGTCCACGATTTCCAGACACTATTTCACCGATTTGGACCAACTGACGTATCTGGATCTGAAGAATAACAGCATCGCCGAGATAGAGGACGGCGCGTTCGCCAAATTGCGCAGCCTGGAAACGTTGCTACTCGATTGCAACAACATCACCGTGTTCCGCGCTGGAATGTGGAAAGGTCTCGCCGATCTCCGCGAATTATACGCCACGAACAACAACATCGTGTTGAGGAGGAACGTGTTCAGAGGTCTCAGGCACCTGGAAACTTTGGCGCTGGACTGCAACGAGATCACGGAAGTGCCGATCGGGGTGTTCAACGGATTACCTCACATCGATCTTCTCTATCTGTCGAGAAACAAAATTTCCTCCTTACATCCGGAAGCCTTTCGCGGTCTTGGCGAGGTGAACGAATTAGACCTGGGACGAAATCGACTGAGGGACGTATCCGGTGGGATCTTTCGACACCTGAAGAACCTGAACTCTCTGTGGCTCAACGGCAACCAGATCGTCACGCTGAAGGCTGACACGTTCGTGGGACTTGACAATTTGTTGCTGCTGTTCTTGAACAGCAACGAGCTCCACTTCGTCGACATGTCCGCCTTCGCGAAAATGAGGAACGTCACCATCGATCCGGGGTTTAAGGTTGCCGGGACAACGATGGATGTCATTTGGAAAGTGCAAGGACGATTCCGATGCAACAACGTCGAGTATCAGTTGCCGTACGAGTGCACAGAGATTGAGTCTCGGCTCTATTGACACAGATTGCAGAGTGAACAATGTCGCTTCGTTATAGAAACGCGAGTCTATATCCATTTACAGCAGTGAAAATGAATTCGAACGTGAAATTATTATCGATCTTCTCTCTCTCTCTCTCTCTCTCTCTGACGATACTTTCGTAATCTCTGAGAGAGTATCCTTTCCTTGTCCATTTGCGACAGTGAAAATGAATTCGAATCTTCTTATCTATTTTTTTTTTTTTTTGTAACTATTGATGCGTCGTTCGAGAAACTTTTTCAGTCATGTAGAATATATACTTTAACAATGATACGTTGATTTATGTAACATACGTTGACAATGATATATGTAAAGTATTGGAAAATATATCTGCTGAGATACAACTCGTAGACACTCGTCTGTTTAACGGTCAAGTGCAAGTTTATCCGATAAAAGTCGTTTTTCCAGGAGTGTTCAAGGGATATCGACAGGACGAGAGTCCGCTTCCGCATCCTTGTTACAAGAGCACGTCGATGGATTACGGATGGTACGCACCGACGATTCACACCGTGCCCACTGCTTATTATCCACGAAATACTTCTTTCAGCGAGAACATGGCGCGCGGCGGGATGTATCGTAATCGCTCTCTCAATACGGGACTGGACAAAAGCGTGGTTTAAATTCCTTGCTCGTTCCTCTTCGATCCTCTGTCAATTTCTTTTCAAATTGTCTGCATCACAGATCTTTGTAAACGAACTCGTAGTTTCATACAATGATGGTGTAACAATGTATTCAATGTGGTGTATTCAATAAATGTCGAACGAGACTTACTTGTGCTTGCTTGTGCTTTCGAAATTGCTGAGAATTATTTTCATTTGACTTGATTTCAATAAGTGAATTTATCAGCCTGTTAGAAAGATAGAAAAAGGACGATGCTGGGTTGCTGAGATTGACAATAGAAGTCAGAAGTATAATATTTTTTTTTTTATTTTTTTTCTTTGTTTTCTTTATTGTTACAGTTTTAGCTTTTACGCAGTAATCGTATTTCAACGAGATACCTAGTCGGGCCACGCAGAATTACACGGTGTCCCGAAATCTAGCACGAACTCGAGAGTCGTTTCTCCTCTCTTGCGATCTTGCGATATTATTGGCGATATTTATTTATCGTTCGCGCGCTCGTTTTCGCTAAACGTTCGTCTTCGTTACAGCTTCGCTTTTAGGAGTGAATGATACCAGGGGTATCTGAAAGTTACTCTGCGTTACTCGACTTCGGAAGTAATTATAACATCTTATAACTTCTGAGTGCATGCCATTCGCCCATTACGCTGCTTAATATGACCATCGTAGTCGTAATGTTATAACTTCAACATATATATGTATATATATATATTTATATTTATATACTTATATATATATTTATATATATGTATATATATATATGTATTTATATATTTATAAATGTGTGTACATAACACAATGAGACAGCTCAATTCGTCAAAGACTTGTTAACATTTCAATGTCTTAACAACCATATAACAGACCCTCAAAACGTTTTCATCAACGTTTCACAGTCCAATATGGCAATAACCTTTTTTCATTTTTTTTTCTTTTTTTTTTTCTAAATTTTTATTGGTATGCAATGGATGATTACACGATTCTAGTCGAAGAAACTCTGTGTATGTTCGTATGTTTGTCTGTTCCGGCGGGCCACGTCGAACGTCTCACGGAGGCACCATAAAGATATTCCAAGTCTGATAGTGCAACGTGAGACCGGTATATTCAGAAATACAATCAGAAACACGCGACAGTTTATATCCTCTCTCGCGTGCTTCGCTCGATTCATTCTTTCTCAATTCATTCGTGTAACTTCGCTGGAAAATTTTCCACGATTGCGTCACGCATCGAAATTTCGTTTTCGAGAAGTTCTTTGAGGAACCGTACATTCTTCCGTCTTTCTAAATCCGTAAAATCCGTCAGTCCTCGGCAAGTGCGTCGATCGAGGTTTCACGCAATGTTAGCACGAAATGTCAATCATCGTCGTCGTCGCAAAGAAAGTTCGAAGAATACATTGAATCAATATTACCAGCACCTTCCGTGCTCCGTTTGCTCTCCGTGGGTCACCATTCGAGTCATCGTCCTTTCATCGCGATGCGCGCGAGAACGCGACCGCGAAGACACTCGAACCCTGATGAAAATTCGATTAAGGCCATAAAATGATCACCGGGCGTCGAGTGTCGGTCGCCGTCGCGAGGAAGACTCCCTTGATGTTCCATGAAATAGCGGTGCTCGTTACCTATCGACCACCCCGGGTTATCAAACGAAGAAATCCCTCGGT